GACAGGTATTGTAGTTGGCATATATTAATGAAGTTTTCTGAGAAAATTGATGTAGTGAAGTATAGTATTTATAAAAACGAGTTCTCGGCTTGCATTTGGAAATCAGAGACTCCTGAAGAATTTTATTTACAATGGGAAAGTCTGACTAAGAAAAGTGGGTTAGAAGGAAACAAGTGGTTGCAAGACCAATATGAACTTCGGTCAAGATGGATTCCTACATATGTTAATCACATTTTCTCAGTAGACATGTCAAGTAGTCAACGAGCGGAAAGTGGACATGCATTCTTTAAGAAATTTATTTCGAAGAATAATTCATTGGTTGATTTTATGATACAGTTTGGTAGGGGATTAGTGTGCCAACGACATGAGGAGTTGATGGTCGATCACAAAGATATAATTGAGAAACCTAAACTTAGAATAAATCATGACTTTTTAGAGCAAATGGTTGATATTTACACAAATGAGATCTATTACAAGTTTAAGGCTGAAGTGTGTGACAGCTTTAACTCCAAGTTGCGGTTTGTTAAGGCAACCGACAATCAGAGTGTGTATCAAATTCAAAGAAAGAAGCTCACAACAAGTAAAGTCCACGAAATTGTTTACGACAAGGACTTGGATTTGGTTTCTTATAGTTGTAAAAAGTTCGAAAGCACCGGAATTCCATGTACGCACATTATATCATATTTGATGAAAATTGATGCTGAAATATTACCCGATAAATACATCTTAAAGAGGTGGACTAAGTCTGTAAAATCGGGGATAGTGGATGATGATAAAGGCATGCAGATAAGCCCTGATAATTCTTATCTTTTAACGCGGAGTCAATTTATCCAATCATCTTTGGAATTAGTTGACAAGTCCCTTGTATGTGAAGAAACGAGGAAGATGTTTACCGATGGAGTGCGTATCATTAATGAGCAAATCGACCAATTTCTTAGTAGCCACATGGTTAGTGGCCGCATGGTTGTAAAGAGCTTCACCGAGAAAAGTAATCAAATAAGTAGTAATTTAATGGATGATGGTACTAGAGTGCAGGGTTCTTGTACTTTTCAAAATAGTTTCAATGAACCCGATCAAGTGCGAGCAAAAGGGTACGGCAAAAGGTTGAAGGGAGGAAAAGAGAAAGCAATGGCTAGAGCAAAAAATAAAAAAGATAGATGTTGCCACGGGTGTGGTAAAGTAGGCCAATCACATGATAAGCGAAATTATCCCACACTCACAAATCCGCAAGTAATAATTCTTTTATTATTTATGTTGTCTTATTCTTCACCTTCTATTATCCCCCTTGATGTGTATATATATATATATATATATATAGATATATATATATATATATATATATATATTCATTATAATGTAGGTCTTCTACATGCGTTGATACAAATTTGCAAGAGAGTAATGGGTCATCAAGTGAAGATGGGGATGATGTGTTACTATGATTTTATATGGTTAGTATAGCCTTAACTGAAAAATTTATATGGTTAGTATAGCCTTAACTGGAAAAAGTTTTAGTGGTTTTTAGACTTTAAATTGTTAAATGAGAGTTATGTTCCATTGCAGTCATTTATACACTACAACATTATTATTAATAGTGATGATTTGTGCCTCCTTTGTGCAGGAAAATGTTTTAGGCTCTTCCTTATAATCTCATGATTGAAGAAAGCTTGAGGAGCACATCCACGACATTTCTACAAGGAGTTGTTGCAGATTGAGATGTATGTTGTCTGGAAATGTTATTGAGATGTATGTTGTCTGGTGTTAGGTTCTGTATAACTATTCTGATGTCAACATATAACTATTCTCATTGAAAAATCTTAAAACTATCTATTAAATCCTCTACTTTGTTTGATTATTATGCGAAAGGTTTGTTGTGCGACTCTTTGTGTGGAAAGTATGTTGTGATTATGTACCTGGAAAGTGTGTTGTAAGAAATCTATCTGTTAAATCCTCTACTTTGTCCCCTGATTGGAAATGCTATTTGGTTACATTGGGATTTTTATTTCTATTGAACACTGGCAAATGGCGGAATAGATTCAATTTTCTACAGGGAGTTATAGATGGCAGGGGCGAATATAACAACAAGGCTGTGTCTCGAGCTTGCTGTTCTTTGTTATCTAAGGTCTTAACAGCTTCTTATTTTGATATTGAACTACAAATAAATCGATAGGTGTATTTATGTGTTAACCATTTTTTATTTGCAGCTAGCAGGAAGTGATGATAACAAAACTGCTATAGTTCAGAAGGTGGGTCTTGATAGACTAATTAAACTATCATCCAGATTTACGGATGATCCCTCTGTTCTCCAAGAATGCTTTGTTGTGTAGGTTATGTCTATTATTGGTGTACTCTCACTCAGATCCCCTGAGAATGCTGCTCGTGCTGTTAAAACTGGTGCTGGAGATCTGTCAATCCAGTCAATGCAGAAGTTACCTGCTACATATCAGATGCAACAACAACATATATACCAACAACATATATTTGTAAAGTCATAAGAGCAAAACATATATACCGTGCTCCCATCAACCACAACATATATACCAACAACGTATATACAAATCACATCACTGAGATCAATGCCTCTCATTACCAACAGCATATATTTGTAAAGAACACTACACACTGCATTTTTGTTGGAATCAACCCACATTTACAAATCACATCACATACCTTTTACAATGGACAAGCCAATAAATACTGCAATGATACGTACTACGAACACTAATATTGTAAACATTGAACCTAATGCAAAAACATAGATCGGGGAAATAACAATTTCCCTAAATTTTTCCTTGTCCTTATCTAGATTATGCTGCTCCGGAAATATTTGTTGTTGAAATTGAAGCGGTGTCTGGACAGGTTTTGAGCTGGATGCTGAATCATGATCGATAGTGTGCTTCTCCCATTCACTCAAAGCCTCTTCATACGTTGCAAACCCTTTGTAGGAGGTATTTGGAAATTTATCAACATCGAATTCACATTCCTTCCAGTTATCAAAAATGCCACATTGTAGCCCTTTCTTCACAACATAAAAACGCTTTCTTGCAAACAACATCACAAATATGTGTCAATATTGTTTTAATACTTCTCACATTTCCTTTCAAATTTTCCATTATTATTTTTTCAGAGAAGCTATAATGACCTATTAATGCATCACAAACTGCTAGAAATAGTTCCCAGATCTGCTATGAGAGGATATGCTATCAGAATGGAACCCACAACACACAAATAATCATGTCGGAACCCAAAATAGTCCTTCGGGAAATTGGCCACTGATTTTGTTTTTCCAAACACCATGATTTCCTTGTGAATATCCCCATACTGTGAAGTAAATAGGCCATTCAAATAGAATAATTGGAAGATAGTCAACTTTAAAACATACATGTATAAGGGCTAGTTTCTCAATTAATCCTAAGATTTTTCATACATCGATGTACCTGCAAACTATGGCATTTGAAATCATTCCTTACACGTTTTGGGACATGGCAAATGGACAGTAAAAATTGCACATCATGATTAAAATCACAAATATAAGTTGCAGGTACATTCTATATAACTTGAAATGGTTGTAAACTAATATAAAGGAGCATCAATTCCATAATGACATACAATTAAGGAAGTGAACTCACTGGGCCAGGTATTTCGTCGACGGTGAGATCGCGAAGGAGGGCTGAAGGCGGCAGAGGAGGTTGACGGCGAGATCGCGGAGGAGAGACAACGATAGCTGATGGCGAG